CGCAGACCCGCCGCAGCCCGGCGCCGCGCATCATGTAATATTAATATTCACCGTACAATAACACCAGTCGATATGTCGAAAACCGATAAAACGACTTAGGAAATGTGTCAAGTTTTGAAAATAACGCTGTGAAAAAAAGCGATGCCTTCGTAGCAATAGAGAAAAGGATTATTTAAAAGGGTAAATTATAATTGTTAAGTGAATCGTTCGCAATGGTCAGGAGCAGGAGGAGGTGCGCGAGGCGGAGGCGGGGGTGGAGGTGGAGGCGGAGACGGAGGCGGCGCCGCCCGAGCCCGAGTTCAACCTCGACGACTTCCTCAAGTTCGACACGATCCCGGACATGCTCACCGTGAGTCTCGCAACGTTCCTGCAACAAGTGTTCCTGTGGGCGCGCGCGACTCTCTCAATAATGTTGTTGTGACGGTGTCGCAGAACGGCACGAGCGGTCCGGAGGGCGGCAGTCGCTTCACGCAGTGGTTCCGGCGCGACAGCCCCGACACGCCGCACTTCGACGCCGCCACCATGCTGCACCACGTGCTCGACGGTAACCTCACCTCTCTAAGTATTATAACCTGACAAACGAACAAGTGCCCAACTAAATTAGCCGAAACATTACAATTGGAGATGTGTCGCCTCGTCTACCTTCAGTTCATGGAAGAGGGAGACATAAAATAAATATTTCTAAGTAAAAGGTGTCCTCCGTGTCACAGCGATGTCTCTGTGAGTGATATAGGTTCGCACTTGAGGCATGTGTGAGGTGAGGTGAGGTGAGGTGAGGCATGTGTGAGGTGGTAGAGGTGAGGTGAGGTGAGGTGCATGTGTGTTGTGTGCACAGACTCGGAGAGCGTGCGGGACCGGGACCCCACGCCGGCGGAGGCGGCGCACGTGTTCGCGCCCATCTCGCCGCACCCCGCGCACCCCGCGCACCCCGCGCACACGCCGCACACCCCGCACACCCCGCACCAGCCCTTCTCCCTGCTGGACCTCATGTTCCGAGCCAACCAAAAGTCGAGAGGTACATGTATACCTATATGTGTTGCTGCATGTTTCATCATTTTTATTAACGGAATCTAATTATCACATATATTGTTGTGTATTAAACATTTATCATTGTTTTAATATTGTGTTGTACAATCAGGCTAACGGTACATACCTGAATGATCGCACAGATGTCCCCAGCGGGATGGGCGGGGGCGGGAAGATGCAGAGCCTGGAGGAGCTGGAGGCGCGACTGCGGCCGCACCAGTCGGCGCCGCACCACAACGTGTCCGAGCACGACCTCACCGCGTTCAAGCGGCTCGTGAGTACACAAGGCGCCCTCCCCGCACCCTCCCCGCACCCTCCCCAGCCGGGGAGCGCGCCCTCCTCCTCAACACATGTCTGCCGCAGCTGGCGCAGGTGTCGGGCGGACACGCGGTCACCGAGCAGCGCGCGCCGCACCCGCACCACCAGCACCACCAGCACCACCCGCAGCACCACCAGCACCAGCCGCAGCCCATGAGCCTCATGCAGGTAAACATTTCGGAGGCAGAATTACTCATTCCACTATATTATTATATACCTTAATTAAAAAAATACTTTCGATAAAATGCGTTCTGTTCGAAAACAAATGTCCATTTTGTTTCAGATGTTAAACAAGAGTATGGAGCAGCAACAGCAGCAGCAGCAGGCGCAACAGCAGCAAGCGCAGCAGCAGCAGCAGCCGCACATTCCGCAGGAGCTCCTTTACAAGCTCCTGCAAGTGCAGCAGGTATGCGAGGCGTGGCCGCTCTCTTATATGTGGCGTATCTGTGTATCGACGTACTGACAGCGGCGCGTGTTGCAGCGCCAGCAGCAGCAGCAGCAGCACCAGCAGCAGCAGGCGCCGCCCGCCCCCGAGCTGGCCGCGCTCTCGCCCTCCGACCGCGACCTGCTGCAGCGCCCCGAGGGACAGGCCATCATACGCGGTGCGACATCACCCCGATACGCGGCGGACGCAGCGGGCGCAGCCGACCTCACAGACCCACGCGATTGTAATAAATGTAAAGTTGACTCGTTATGACGACAGGCCTCAAGTCGGGCGAGATCACGGTGCAGAACGTGATGCAGCAGCTGAGCAACCCGGGCCTGCAGAGTCGCCACCGCGAGATGCTGCTCACCATCCTGCGCCTGCACCACGCGCGACAGGTACGCGCCCCGCGCCCCGCGCCCCGCACCCCGCGCCCCGCGCCCCGCAGCAGCACACAAGTAAACATTGTGCATCTGTTGTTGCAGCAGCAGCAGATGAGCGGGTCGCCGCTGCCCGCCGGTATGGGAGGTATGGGAGGTATGGGCACGCCTCACCTCGTGCTGCCGCAGCACCAGCCGCTGCGCCTGTCGCCGCTGCCGCATGCCGGTGAGCCGCTGCTACAAATAACTAACCAAACAACTAAATGCAATGTCACCTTGAAGAGAGGTGATACGCTCACAGCGTGGCATTCGTCAGACCGCCGGCATCTCACTATTCAGATATGTTTAATAATAATTAAATATAGGTATATAATGTGGGTG